CGTAAAGCAATGAGCACTTCGATGAATAGAAGTGAAAGTACAGAAGGCCCCCCCTCCCACCTCAAAAAGCCGGTACCTGCCGCCAAAAAAATGCCCCACCCGACAGAGCAAATTCAGTATGTGCGCGTTCAAGATGCTTTTTCATGCAATACGTCAATATTGGAAACAAAATCGATGACCATGGAAAAAGCGTCCGAGAATTTTCAGACTAATCTGGCAGCATCGCAAAACGAGCATAGATGTCGTCAAGAAATTTGATTTGATTAGCTGTCAAGTGAAGACAAGCCCCCGTCCATTTATTTTACTAGACCACACGATGAGCACTCTGTGAATGTAATTATGCCTCTGGCTCGACTGCGCATAAGTCCCCCGCAAACTGAGCGCATTCTTGAAAAATTACATCGGTGCATCGTTCTGATAATTAATGAATGAAAGTTCTCATTCCATTATTGACTGATATGAGGAGGGTCCGAAAATTAACAGAAGTACCATGCATAGAAACTAGTGGCGAATCGCTATTAAAGACAGCCCCGCGATCAAAGTGGCTCGTGGTCGCCTTTGCTGTGCAAGTAGTCTAGCCTCCAAGCTAGAAGACTGTTCACCTTTCGCGACTCTATTGTGAGCGTGGAGGCTGCTATAGCCGCTCAAAGTGTGTTCTAGTTCTAACTCCTCCTCAGTCGGACCGCCTTTACTTGCTAGATGTCCTCCGACGGAGGCCACTCACTTGTTCTTAGTTGGGGCGGCGGGCATTGCTAATGCCCCTGGATAATTCTGCTCTCCTTCATTACAGTTTACTCATTGGAGGTATATACATTCAATTCAACCCATTTCGCGAGGTGAAACGCGTAAAAAACACGAGTGACGCAATTTTCGTGATGCAAAACCACGACGCACAAAAGGTGCGCTACCGTAATCACAAATTCAGACACCGTGTTGATAAAATTCCTTTTTCCTTCCCAGAGTTTTTCCTCTGCGTTTTTGTTGTTTTCTTTTTGTATTCTTTCTTTTGCACTAGATGATATCAACTACTGCGAGATGTGATAGAGAGATTTGTGAGCTAGGGGCTGCACAGAGACTGCAGGGAGGTGTAACTGTGAGGGAAAGATTTTGTTTATGTTGTTCTGGAGAACGCTTCTTGCCAGTTTTCTTCTTTGGGAGATTACTTATCGGCTGCTGTTTCATAATTGGGAAGCAGCTATCCATGAGACTTTTATCGCGGGAGCTGTCTTTAACAGAAACTTCCAAGACACTACGAAGCGTGCGACGAACGTGCGCAGCCAAAGATTTCCACTCTGCGGTGTTCTAAAGAGGTTATTTGGCATTTCTTTCACGTGTCAAAGCACATCCTCGGAAATGAAGGACACATATATCATGTGGAATTGAAAAGACAAAAAACTATTGGTTATCGGTGCAAAAAAGATGCGAAGCATGCGGGGATAACCGCAGTGCAGCGCTAAGCAGTCTGGTATAATCATATACAACAAGGACATCAGATTAGAAGAGAACAATATTTGAAATCTAGAAGCAAGACAATAACGGCTAGAAGTCAAGGGTTTGGTCATGACACTTTCTTTGCCATGGCTTCACGCCATAGTAACTCCAAACAACAGAGGAACAATGAGTTCCACCAACTATTTAGCACCTGTCCCCGCTTGGACTGCACTCATACTTTTGGTCCGCGTTTTGAGCGCTTCACTAGATCAACATCTACAGCTTACATTTCGCTCAAAACGTCGACGAAAAGTATGAACACGAACAATATTGCGCCCCTCAAACTGATATCAGCTAGATGATGAGGATCATGAGACAGTACAAAAAGACTCGTCTATCTCGTACGACAAATCCATCCTTCGATGAAAATCGAAATTTCGAAATAGGTGAGTCATCTCCCATGAAGGTATCCCAGGCTCCCATCAATCGTGGGCGTCAAGGAAACAGATACCAGATAAGAGAAAACGACGTCATAATGCTCATTAGTCTGGCTTAAGAGGATTGAAAAAGGTGTTCCAAAAGAAAACAAGTGACTGTATCTTCATGTGCAGTTCGCTTTCTTTGGAAAAATTAATCAAAAGAATGGTAATCAAGATGGAAGTGATGGGAAAAGAACAAAGAGACGGCGACCATGCGATGCAAGCAAATTTGACGGAACTTAATTTACACGAGCAGTACTTACCAACTTGAGCAGACGACCCAGTAGAAAGCACTTGACCATCCGATGGATGCAATGAAATGTGGAACTGTGGTAAAAATCGGTTTACTTGCCGACCTGAAGAAAAACCGACTTGTAAACGCCTATTTCCGCCTTTTCATACTTCAGGATCCTGAATTTCGTTATCATCATGGTGACATCACCACCATTACAGCTCCAGATAGGGGACAAAAATGGTTAAATGACACTATTGCATCATCATCAGTAGCATTACTTGTGTTAAGATGGATGATTAGTCATTCTCATCACGTAGCACTTCAATGACGTCACTGACAATGATACAATTCAGGTATCCTCGACAACAATGTTTAATGTAGCACGGCATCTTACTAGCTTCTTATAATAAGGCTACATTCGTAGTTTGCGCATGGAGAGTAAGAGAATGCGCAAGCAAAAGTATAGGCATCGATCTGACCTTTTCGAATTGGAGACTTGTGACTACGCGATTTTCCTGCGCGAAAACTCCAAACAGCAGAATCGCTGAATCAGCTTTTTGTAGCGCATGCCAAAGCAGCGGACGAGAAGTAAACCGACCGACTCCTATCCTATAGTTACCCTGATCTACAATTCTCCTATTTTACCAGAATGCTGGCGGTAGGCGCCGCCGCATATCCTCTCCTCTAGGACACATTTCTCTAAAACGACAGATTGATACCTATGCTTCTACTGACTAACATTCTCCCATTCTCTCATTCCCCCTTAGTGAAATATGAACGCCCTCTGACATTTCTGCTACGCATACGCCAATAAGAGATAGATGCGCAGTACTCCTGCTACGAGAAAATCGTAAAGCTCAAGTTCGAAAAGTAAGAAGCCAATCCCACACAAGAAGCATATACTTTACATCGTGTTTATAGAAGCTATAAAAGTGGACGGATTTTACAAAACTCACCGACGAGAAGTGGCACTAATCCTCCCAGATGCTCCATACATAAAACATACGAGTGGCTTCCTCTCGAAAGTGGTTTAATCGTGCAGTAACATCTTGCTTCACTTGCACTGCAGACGAATGAACACAAATCGTCAATTCGCGGTATTCGGCACTGAAATCCGTGAACAAAAATGATCACAGTCACAAATTTGTTAACCGGGCTCGCTATTACTTTGGGGGAGGGGGGGGGGCTCACTCATTGCACACGTTTTAGTTGGACGATAACGATCCGTTAAATATTGGAACAGTTCTATGACGACCTTATGTATTAGCATCTTCTGGCAAGGCGTGTTGTGACGAGCCAACGACAAGGAGATCGCATCTTAGACATACACCCTGCACACCTTTTCTTCTAATTCTTGTATGTTGGACGGCAATCTGGACAGGTACGAGTGCGTTCATACTTTGCAGTTGCGTTGTGAGCGTTTCATGCGTCAGCGTTTCGAATGTCCACCAGCGTGGCCAACGGACGCTGGTGGACCCTCAAACCCAGAACGCTGGATCAATACCTACACTCTCCTAGTCAAAACGCTGGTGGACGCTCGAAACGCCGACGCGCAGGGCGCCCAAAACGTTTACGCAAAGTATGAAAGCACTATTAAGCTCAGGGGAGTGCAAACGACGATATTTGCGCTTGGCAGCCTCCAAGGAGACAAAGCGGCGCCGCTGCGCGGGATGGCCCCATCCGACTCAGTCAGCACCCAGGCAGGACTATCGTTTGGTCTCCTTTCATTTCAATTTACCCCTCCCCATTGCACCATAACCTCACCAGGAGCGATAGGGTAGCATTGTGGCGCCATCAACTGCTCAGGAATAAAGTGCGCTCATATTTGCTGCAGCGTGTCAAGCAATAGGAAAGTATGGTACTGATCCATGAGCGATTGCTAGCGTTTTCAGCGGTAATCGATATCCATACATTCTTAGCCACTCATGCTGACGCTGACGCAAACTATGAACGCACTTAACCGTAAGAGAGGCAATATTACTATGCATATGCATGCATATGCTATGACACTCCTAAAGCCATGTTTTTTTTTTGAAAACAATCAGTGACGGAATGGAAGAGGCAAAACGACAACCTTCAACCTGTTTGGAATGCCGTTAAACATGAAAGCAGAAGAAGAAATAGCAAGGAAAAGGAAGTTGTACTAATATGCGATCTCCTGGTAACTGAGGGATATGCCCTAACGCGTAACAGAAAGCCTTATCCTTCGAAAATGGCCTCAAAGTCGATTGCGACCCCCTACTACTATAGCGTCATAGAAGTTTCTCCATAAAAGATTCACGAAACAACTAGTTTCTCTTAGCTCTTCCTATTCATTGGAAAACTGCTTTACCGTAGTCGTCACTTCACG